CCTCTTGGAGGCCTCTTGGAACCGTCCTGGGAGCCTCTTGGAGCCTCTTGGGGGCTTCTTGGGGCCTCATGGCGGCCTCTTGGGGCCTCTTGGAGGCCTCTTGGAAGCTTCTTGGGGCCTCCTGGGCGCCCTTTGGGGCCATCTTGGAAGCGATCGATCGCAGAAGAGGGTGGAGTTAATTAACCTTGCCCCCCTAAGAGGGCAAAATGGGGCCAAAACTTTGGTAAAACCAATGATTTTGGCTTCCTCGCCGAGGCCGTTTTGGACGTCCTGACCGCTGGCGACCGGCCCCGTCCAGGTCCAGGGGAGGGGGGTAGGGGGGAGGGGTAAACGCCTCCCCGAAGGGAAAGAGTGGGGGTGGAAGAGGAAATTCCGCAAACCACCTGCGCCCAGAGGGCTGGTGGGACTTAAGCAGAAGCGCGCGCCAGTCAGCCGGGCGCGCCATCTGTGCGCGCGCGCGCATGCGGATGCATTATATTTTGCCTAGGGTAGTTCCGCTGCGCTCACCAGTTCATAGCGTGAGGTCCGCTTCTCGTGAGCTACTGGAAGAAGATCAACCATGCATAATCTCCCGTCAGCACCACCATGCACTTGCCTGAGATGACGATGCATCGTCAAAGCACTCATAGCCAACATATAACCCAACATGACCGCGCAAGGAGCGGCAGGCGCCGCGCAAAATTCCATTCCCGACGACTTTATTCAAAGTGGAAGGATTTCCCGAGCCAGAGCGGCGACGCCATGGTCTTTTGAAATCGCGATTGCCGCGCGAGATTTCACGCCGCGCGAGTGCAACCGCGAGTATTTGATGCGCAGTCGCGCGACTTCCCGAACCAGGCCAAACCAGCCGACTCATCACATGCTCTGGGAAGGCAGTGCTGGGAAAGTGTTCAGATGCCGTATGCGACCTTGCGAAAGATTAGCTAGTGTAGTTAACTCGTTGCGAGCGCGCAGCCTCATCCTTGTTTTCCCTGGCGCGACAGGTCTTCCAGGGCTTTCCCGGATATCATCCCATCGTCATCTTCTGGAGCCATCGGCCATGCCTACCGTTGCCAGTCAGGCTCAACCCATCGGCCGCTGCGCGTTCTTGGGGTGTGCTCTCTGCCACGCGGGACGTCCAGAGTCGCACGCGGCGCCTGCTGTGAGAAAGGTCCATGCGCGACGGGGGCTGTCTGAAGCGCGTGCTCTGGGCGCGTTCGGCAATGTCGGCGCGGGGGCGTTTTTGCGGCGCCCGCTGCATTTTCGCTCGGTTCCGGAAGATTTCTCGCGGGCTTCAGAGTTGAAGTGCCCTGCCTGTCGGCCGCCAGCAATTCCCCAATTGTGCATCAGCGTTTTTGGTTTTCCTTCCAGCGCCTTAACCAGGCAACCGCATTGAGGCCATCCTCCGGGCGAAGGATTCGGCCGACCTCGAGCAGCGCAGTCGTATCATCGCCATTCGCACCGCCCGCGCTTGCAATATGACAAACCAATGTGAGACATGGCTCGAAACCAATGAACTGACTTTGACCTACGGGGCAGTAGTCTTCTCAGCATGGATCCAGCAACGGCACTGCGTGCGAGGATTGTCTGCTGTCGTTTTGGCGTAGCGCCAACGGCGTCGCTTGCGCTCCTGGGGGCGACGTGCAGTACTTCAGGAGCCCCACCATCATGGGGCCAGGCAGTGGCTCGTAATGGGTCTTGGAGAGGAATTGGACACGTCCGACTGCTTGTGCGACAACTTCAAGGCTCGTGGAATCAGCGTTCCTCGAACAACTCAGTGGGGCGACGCCGTGGACAAGAAGGCTGGCTCGTGGCGTGGTTTGCAGAATTGGCACAACTTTGCCCAGCTGACCCATCAGTTCTGGCACAGCACGACGCTGCGCGGCATGGCCGCAGTTCTGCAGTCGTTACCTACGCGCCCGTTCCCTTTTAGGGCTCCCCTGGTCCAAGGGTCTCTGACGCCCAGGGGCGCGTTGCAGCTTCCGAGATACGCCAGTCCTTCACGACGCGTCTGGACCAGATTGTCACATGTCAGCGCCAGCACTACCTGACTGAGCTGCACTTTCAAGCCGCTGGAGAGAGCACCCTTTGCAGTTGGATGGCTACCACTATGCGCGCTTTGTCCACGCCGCTGAGTGCCTCCACTGCTACTGCATGGGCCCCTCCGCCGGTGGCCGCGCCCGCGTCGACTTCGGTCGCGCCGGGCACTCCGTGGCTGCGGCGCAGCCTGCGCATGCTGGACGTACTTATGCTGAGGTTCGCTGTCGCGCGCTGTCGGAGGTCGCGGAGGCCGCTCGCAGGGGCTCCTACCAGCAGATGCACTTGTGCCTTCGCTCGCTCATCTTCCACGACATCAAGGTTAGGGATTCTCGCGACTCCCCAGAGCGGAGGTGCTGGACCAGGACATTGCCAGAGGACGCATCGTCGAGGAACAATCATTCGATACTATGGGTTGTTTACGAACAGTTTGTTGACAAACTCGCCATGCACGACATTTGGCCTGCAAGGTTGAATCTCGAACGAGGGTGGCTGCAAGTGCATGGCCCCGCGATCTCAAATGCTGTTGTGATTGCCACAGCCAAACAATTCTTCGCAGAGGCGACGGACGATTAGGCCAACTTCTCCAGGGCGCCGTCTTCACCAGCTTGCCCATTTGCGCCGGCGGAGACGCCTGCGACCCTGCCGCGCTGCCAGTCGGAGATTCTTCCGATACGCAGGATGAGTCGAACCAGCCTTCCCCGCTGGCGGAGACACTTGCTGCTGCCGCTACCTTGGCGGCGCCGCCGCAGGAGCAGCCCTGCCAGGCAGTCCCGCTTGTGGCGACACCTGCTGCCGCCGCTGCCGTGGCGACAGTCTCGGAGATCGCCGCTCCTGCATCCACGCAGCCTGCAACATTCAAGAATTTGACGTGAAGCCAGGTGTGCGATAGGTCACAGTGCGAGAACACGGCAGGTCTCGATGGACAGTTTACTGGCTTATGTCCCCGTGTGAGTATCACATCCGCGAATGCAATGAACTTAAGCCGACAGAAACACTTCAGCAAGGAGATCTCCAGCATGCCGCGCCATTGTTGCGATGGAAACTATGGCATCGACCAGTTCTTAGACAGGAGGGTGAACGTACAGTAGAAGAATGTGGATCTTTTCGCGGAGTGGGCGGTTTAACAAGTCTTCCTCGTTAATGGACATGTTTCGGAGAAGTTTCGGGACTTCGCATGGCCCCAGACCCGATGACGTCGCCGTGAAGTTGCGTTGGAACGAGCCATGTCCAGAATGCGGTGAACCATGGCGTAACCGCAGGAACTACTACGTCATCATTGTCTTTCGCCGCCTCCAGAAGCACATGGACCTTGACGGGGCCCGTTTCCAGGTCTTCTGCGTGCTCAATGCTGGTGGCGACAAACGCGAAGATTTCAAGCGGCACACTGTCAAAGCCATGCGTTGCATTGGTGGACGGACATCGGTCAACTTCCGGTCGCAGCCATGGAACATGGGATCGACACGCTTGGTATGGACCGATGTGAAGTGTGCCCACCACGCCACCACGCGTAGTGCCGTGGTCAACATTCACAGCACGGCATCATCCCTGGCTGTGGACAACGACGCAACGCGCAAAGGACAATAATTTAGCTCCTGCAGTGTCGTGTCGCGTGATGAAGTCGACCGGCATGCGTTTCCCTGGATTCAGGTTTGGCCAGGTCAAAAAGCAGGTGGACGGTGTCATCGGCATGAAGGTCGCCAGTGTCCAATGTAAATTATGGAATGGGGAACGAGGTGCCATCATGGCTCCGGATTCTGTTCCCGCTGCGGCGATCCTGGCGATTCGTGCCACCCGCGACTGTGCTGTATACTGGCCGCGTGCCTCTGATCGGTGGACGTATCCGCTGCTCAACAAGGGCCAGCCACGGAGTCATAATGAGGTATGGGCGCCGGAGGTGACTCCCGCAGCGGTCAAGATACCCAGGCCGCCGTCACCTCCACGGTGGGCAGGGCGTGCTTCCATGGAGGTCAAGACTCCGATGCCGCCTACGCCCCTTGAACCACCCGCGACTGCAGCGCCACATGCAGCTTCCGACGCCATTGCCGCCCAGACCCTGCAGTCGGACGTGTGCGAGGACCCAAACACGCACTCCATTTCAGCCTACTGGAAACGCGTGGAATCGTGCAGGGTACTACGACACAGCGGTGCTCCATCCCTCGCGCGACGTTTGGGATCCAGGGCTGGTAATAACAGTGAAGAACGGTGACTTGATCTACGAACGCCCGTCTGGACAATCCCATGGTTATCACTTCGACAAACCATAACCCGATGGGAGCTACGCTGACAGGCAGCCTGTGCTTCAAGGTATTTTTCATGGACCGACCATGGTATTTGGTATCTTTGGTCCTTGCCATGTGGTGCAGATGCCTATCGAGGGTTTCGGACCGAAATGGCTTAACATTTGGTGCGACGACCGAGGTAATGCAATGCCGAGAGTCAAGTTTGCCTATCGATTATACAGATATGTACCTTTTACCATCGTGAAGGCTGCTCTGCAGTACCCTGATGTAGATGTATCGGGATACCATGATCCCGTCGCAAAAGACAATATGGAGATGGATACACCTGCGCTGCAGACGTCGGTGGCAACATCCGCGCACGCGGCACAGGGATAACCACGGCAGGCTGCTACATTGCCCTCCTCAGTTCCAACAGAGGACCCGGATACATTTGACCCAGAGCCTCCACCTGCGAGTCCTGAAGAGATTCCTGTCGAGAGTCCAGACGAGGTTCCTGTCGAAGAAACGGAGGCCGCCAAACAGGGGCGTGAGGACGTCGATGCCGTCAAAACTGATGCCACCATTGACGGCGACCTCGCAAACGTTGATCCCTTCAACGTCAGTGGCGCCGAGCTGAAATCATACCTCCAGGGCATCCCCAGAGACAAGGATGGAGCATACCGATGGACATCGTACCCTCTTCTACAGACGCCAAGGATCAATATCGCGTAGATCATTGACATCTTCCGCTGCAACAGTGAGGAGGCGACTGATACGTTCCTTGAGTATGAATTTAATGTCGGGATCTCCAAATACAAGTACACGCTCAAATTTGACCACGTATCCGAGTGGGCCAAATCATTGATCGACCTCTGCGGTTCCAAGAAATTCACCATGGACATGTTTAGAACTATCGACTTCGACGCGTATCGCAATTCAACCATTGGTATCTTCCAATGGCTATCGCTGTTGTGCGCCAACATGCTGGTCGAGGCGAAGTTCTGCCTGGTGGACGTGAACATTCGGAAGATCTGCGACAGCCATCCTGGTTCGCTGGCTCTACGCCAATTATGGAGCAAGTCTATCGAAGACGACCCGACTGCCCCCACCATTTTTCAGACAATTATTTTGTTGAGGCCGGACAGCAGTCCCACACCCGGCCTGGGAACTCCTGATGGCACCGCCGATGTTGATCTCGTCGGCTCCAGCCAGACCTTGGAGCCTGGCTCAAGACCTGCCCCACCAAGTGTGGCCCCTGCCGCCGCGGCTTCCCAGGATATCCTGGTCCAGTTCCTCTGCGATATATTTTGCGACAACCCTCGGGCCAGCGCCGAGATCGACGAGAACGCCCTGCAGGCTGAGGCGCAGCGCCTCTTAGATCATCCGCGCGATGGTGGCGCGGCCTCAAACCAGGCGTCTGACGTTGATCGCGATCAGTCCGATCGACGCTCTGATAATGCCTGGCAGGCGATCAGCCTCTCGCTCGCTACCGATACCGCCTATGAGATCGATCAGGACATTCAGATCTCTCGGTCGATCGTTGGTTGGAGCTGGTCGCGAGACTCGCGAGAGACTCCTGGAGCAGGGTGCGCTTGGAGACATGTAAAACCGCTCTTCGCTGCGCAACATGCTACCGTGACGTGCCAGCGGACACGCCCGAGGTCTATTGCACGTGCTCGTGTTGCCGGAAGGCCGTGTCTCGCGGTGCTGCGGGAGATGCGGAGACTGCGTGCGTGGCAAAGCTCAACGCGTGAATTCGTCACAGTCTGAGCCCTGCGCAGGTTGGCGAGCTATTCCGCGTTGTCGCCGCGATCCGTCTCCAAGGGGGGCGTTCTTGATCAGTCGATGAAGAAGAAGAAGAACTGGCTGGGGAAAGCGCAGAAACGTGCACTGTAGAGGCGCAGCAATCGGCTGCAGGCTGGCAGTGCTGACGCGCGCGAGTGCTGGGCCCATGGCGGCCCCTGCGTCGATTTGTTGTAATTTCCATGTCGCGACATCGTTGAACGTTGTTATTTTCGACCCCGCATTCTACGTCCAGGCCGCGACGCTGCGCTCCCAGCGGGGCCTGCGGGGGTTTACATAGCAGGCCATGTATGATGCTATAACGATTCATCGTGGTAGCGTCAGACTTGGCCATGCGGGCAGGCAGCCGTGGTCCATTAACAAGGGGGCGCTGTCCCGCCAGTAACGCATGGACCTACGTTATCTTGCCATCGAGACTTTGAAAGCAGGCTTGATCGGCCGTGGCGTTAGGGCCGGGTCGAGGCTGAAGGCGCGCGGGCCACGCAGTGTCGAGGGCGAACAGGGCGGCAGTGCATCCGGCGAGGGAGCCGACCGGACGACCCGATCCGCCCCTTATTCCCATCCGCCATACGAGCACTGCATTGGGCAGCGCGATGGCCCTGCCGCCGTGGTTGCTCCCATGGTGCCGCCGCCGCCGTCGTTATTATCGGGGTGCTGCGCTTCGGGCAGGTTGGACACCGAGCTGCTTTTCGCTGCCGGCGAAGCTGGCGGCGGCAGCCGCGCCCCAACCGTGCCGACCAAGCGCGTGCTTGTGAACTCTTCCCCGGAATGGTTGAGGGGCCTCATCGAGCGCAGTCGCTGGGGCGAGAGGTCTGGTTTGAGAAAGTGGAGGATGTTTGTTTTTTCCCAACCGTCCTGTGGTGTTGGGTCTTCGTTTTGAAGAGACGGTGCCCCGCGTTCCTTCCTCCTCCTCCTTCCCGCCCTCCCCCCCTCCCTCCTCCCTGCGTTTCGCCCGCCCAGTGCGGCGTTTCGTGGCCCCGTAGGGAGTTCCACCGAAGGCCCCGGTGGCAGGGTGCGCGTGGCGGCCTCGGGCCATTTCGGCGCACCTCTCACGAGGATCGTGGCCCCATAGGGAGCTCCACCGAAGGTCCCAGTGGCGGGGTTCGCATGGCGGCCACGGGCCATGTCGGCACACCTCTCGCCAGGATCGTGGCCGCACAGGGAGCTCCACCGAAGGCGCCAGCGGCAGGGTTCTCATGCCGGCCTCGGGCTATCGGCACACCCCTCACGAGGATTGCGGCCCCATTTTGGCTCAAGGCGGAAGCGCGGGAATCGAAATCTGGCGGGGCATTCCTTCACAACTCCGCGCGGCCTCCCTCCTCTGGGCGCTGGTCTCCGCTCCCTCTGGGCGCGTCTCTTCTCCCTCTGGGCGCGCGCCCCCCCGCGGGCGCCGCCATAGCATTTTGATTCTGGGAACTTCTAACCACGTCTTGGGACGAGCCTGAGGACCAGGCAAGGCTTCTGGATCAGTTGGGTCTTGGCAATTGGCTTGAGACCAGAGAGCAGTGGCTTCAGAGGCAGACTTCATTAGATCTCGACGACGACAGGCTCATCAGCCCAACTGTCCCCGTTATTCGTACAGAAGGTTATCACTTCGATACAGTTCTCAGGGCTGCTTCTGCTCAACTACTTAAACGACGCAGAGAGGAACAGGGCTTTATAAAGCGTTGGAGTATCCCCGAAGATATCCTTAAAGGCGACGTCGGAATCATGTCGAGCTCCGTGGATGCAGCTGCTGCTACTGCGGGTACTAAGAGACAGCGAGGTCCTGATGTCCAGGCGCGCAGGACCCAGACGCTTGCACAATTCACTGACCCCTTCCAGCGATTGGTGATCGAGGGGATGTTCAAACAGGAAGACGTAGGCGACGACATCCGTGAGACTGTGGAGGCCACTAAGACAGACATCAAGAGGATGGACGGAGTTTTAGCAGAACACACTAAACGTATAAATGAAACGGATAAACGTATGGATGAACTCGAGAAAACATTAAAAACGGTTCAGAATGGGAGTGCGGTATCTACCTTCAGTGCTGGGAGTGGCCCCGCTGATGGGGGCGGCGGAGGTGGCGGGGGCAGGAACCAGTTCTCTCCAACATACATCGAGGTCAAGGGGTGGGTCACGGATTGGGCCAATCATCAGAATCGTTGTGCTCAAATGTTGACTGCCGACGACGCCATGATACTCATTGACAATATATCCAAAGTTATTGCCTCAGATGACCAGGCCTTTCTTAGCAAGGAGGGGACAGAACGTATCAATGCAGGTCGATACATGTTCGGCAGTTGTCGCATCAAGTTTCTTCCATTCACGGATCGAGAGGTGTTATATCGCTTTCAGAAGCTCCTCAGGATCATTGTGACTCCCACTGCACAGCGTGCCCCCTTGCCAGAAGGGGCGACTATTCCAGAACCCAGCGTGCTCATCGCGGGCATGACGCAGGTCATCGACCCGACTCAGCTACGTTTCAATATCGAATCAGCTCCTTGGAAGCGCGACCATGTTCGTGCAGTTGGTCGCTTCTGCGGGGCCTGGCGCAACGTGTGCCAGCGTCACGGATTGGTCCTGGAGGTGCGGGGAGAGGTCGGCTCCCCGAAATCGAACATGTGGGTCAAGGCTCAGGGCGACCGACTCCTCCGCCCGATCTGTATTGCTGAATTCGGAGCAGCCCAGACGTGGACTATCCTTGAGACGCAGTGGGGCCAGCTTCAGGTGAAGTTCCCAAGTCTGACGATCACAGCGACGGACTTCGAGGTCGAGGTCAATCGCAAGGTGTGACCGAATCGGCACCGGCTGTCGGGGATCAAGTTGGGGTGCTGGAACCTCGACAAGGCTGGTGAGAACAACTTCAGAGGCGTGGAGGCGCTCAACCATATGCGTGCATGTGGCGGCCTGTTCGCGCTTCAGGAGGCCCAGAATATAATTCATGCAGATGCCGCCCGTCTCGGATGGCAGATCAAGCACAGTGCCTGCAGGAAGGCGGGGCTCATCTTCGATCGAAGTTGGGCCTCGACGTCCAGGGAATTCATTACTACCTTTTCTAGATTCGCCATTGGTGTGTTCGGTACTTCCATCTCGCCCTTGGTTGTCTGCTCTCTTTATCTGCCCGATTCTCATCGAGAAGATTGCGAAGCGGAGTATGAACTCACGCTTGAGCGTGTCTCTGCCACTTTCACAAGCCTCAGACACAGGTATAGCCAGGCCAGCTTTGTTTGTTTGCTTGACGGGAATGTTGAGCTACCGCCACTATGTGAGTTAGAATGTAATGGGGAATTGTATCTTGCTACGGGAGAGGGCTTGAGGAAGGAGGTCAGGACCTTGGCATGTGGTACGGAGGAGAGGGAGCGTATCAACAGGAGGAGGAGGATGATGGAGATGCTCCTGGGGTTCATGCAGACCCACATGTTTAAGGCGGCCAATACCTTTTCTGCAGATAGGCGTCCTACTTGGGAAGCGTGGGGCGAACAACGTAGCTTCGGACGAATTCAGAAAGTGCTAGATTACATCTTGGTGCCCAGCCGCTGGGAGTGCTCTGAGTGTGAAGTTTCTTGGTGTTACGCAAGAGGAGGAAGGAGGAATAGGAGTCGATTAAGTGATCATGCACTTCTAACTGGGCTGTTTGCATCGCCTGGCCGTGTGATTGTGCGACGTGACCACAGGGAGCGGGCAGAGCCGCCGGCGCCCTCTTTGGTAGGATATCGATGCGTGACATGGGGTGATGAGTTCAATGCCAGGAGGAGGGTGGATCGGAGCTTGGGAGATGTTGTGTTTCGTGGGATTCCCGCACGTTCTCTCGAGATGGAGCCAGCCAGCTTACCTTGCACGCTCATCCAGTCTTTTGTTGCTGCTCCTGACGTGGACTTTACCACGACGCAGAGCGGCAAGCAGAGGCCACCTGTGAGGCCGATCGAGCTCACTCGTCTTTTGGAGAGATGGCGGGAACTACCGCCAGGCACGACTCCAGAGGAAAAGAAACGTCTCAGGAGTGAGCTTAATCTACATCGCCGTCGGTATCGCAGAGAGGTTGCAGCCTGGAAGTGTCCCCTCAATCGTCGAAAGATTCGTCATTATATTAAACACTTGGTGGTGGAGGGCCAGGAGACGGAGGACAGGGAGGTCTGGAGGAAGGAGCTCGACAGTTTCTGCAGAAATAAGCTTTCATCGGATCAGATGCGGGAGGAGAACGCTAGTATGATGGAGGAGATCAAGGGGAAGGCGAGGGAGGAGCTCGGTAGCAGCACGTATTCGACCATCACTATGGCATTACTCGGACGTGGGCGGGCGCGTCTCCGTACACAACGAGCCACAGGGCCAGATCGAGTACCGTGTGAGGTGTTAAAGTGTCTCCCTTGGACGGTATTGCGCAATATCCGACGCTTGTTCAACGATATACTACACATGCGCACACCGTATCCCTCCTCATGGCGTGATATCCTCATCTCCTTTATGCCCAAGCTTCCTGGCATCACGGATCTTAGGGACGGTAGGCTTCTATGTATGCAGAACGCTATTGCACGATGGTACAGCACATGTATCGTTATCTTGGTGGAACAACATGTCGAGCGAAACGGTCTCTTTCGCCCTCTCGGTCTTTACGGCTTCCAATCTAACCGCACCACGAACGAGATCACGGCGAGCTTGAAACACATCGGACAGCATGCCTCTACATGGGGGAAGGGGGAAACAGCACATCTGGCCAATGCAGATATCCTACAAGCCTTCGACCATTGCACGGTAGCCAATGTTAGACGGGGTTTACAGCACGCACATGTACCTTATCATCTTCAATATGCTTTTCTCGATCCACTATGTGACAGTGTGGGGACGGTTTGCCATGAAAGTATCGAGGTGGAGAGTGTGAGATGGGATAGATGTATTAGAACGGGCGGTGCCGAGGGACCCCTAGGGTTCAACCTTATTATTGCTGCGATGTGGCAGGAAACCTTCCGACAGTGGGATACACAGAACATAGGTTATCAAGTGTGTTTTAAAACTGGGGATTCCATGGAGTCTGGCAAATCGTCCTACACGTCGGTCGTCAATCACTTCGTATGGGCAGACAATTGCTACATCTTGGCACGAAGCAGGGAAGAATTGGCACGCATGATTCACGACCTTACGGTTAGACTCCATGATTTCGGCATGCGCTGGAAACCCTCTAGCTTGCTCTACATGGTCTTCGGTGCCGACGCCGCGAGAGATGCCGAGGGGCTGATCCTTTCTTCAGCCGACTTACTTGTACCCTTCCAGAATGATGTTATGCGGTTCAGACGTGTTACTGAGATGACGGTTCTAGGCGTCCAGTTGTTCTCTGATTATAAGTATTCCTCGCACCTCGATGTGGACTCGAGGATTGAGGCGGCTCGTCGGACATTTTACTCCCAGGCAGGATATTTTCGGAACACAAGCACGTCGTTGAAGGAAAAGTTCCAACGATACCAGCAGAAGGTCCAGAGTATTGCCCTTTTCGGTGCGGGTGGCTGCACGGCCGACAAGGACAGCCTCCACGCACTGCACGCGTTTGAGGGCAGGTGTCTATGTTTCATGCTTCGATGCCGCCGAGAACCAGACGAATCCCATGCTACTTGGAACGAGAGAAGATACAGCGATGCCAGATTGAGGTTCGCAGAAGCTGGGTACCACAGTTTGGTCCAGAGATTTCTCCGAGCTCAGTGGCTGCTGGCAAAGGATGTCTCGGCGTATGCGCAGAGGTTGTATCAGGGAGAGGACATGAGGGAGGAGCATAGAGCATGGAGTGATGCACGCATGTGTTTGATTGCCTTTGGTATAAGTTATGATACGCTGCGCACACTTGAGGGAGAAGCCCTTCGGGCATTCGGAAAGTGGAGGGAATGTGGAGTTATGAAACGCTGGAGGTCAGGAGGGCAAGCGATCGGACAACGCTGTTGGCAGACGCCCTTTCATGAGTTCTTCGGCCCACGGTGGTGGGAAGTATTCCAAGGCGGTCATCATGCCTTCATGCAGTTTGCAACTCATCATTGTACACCCTCTATGCTTAGACTTTTCCAGAAGAAATGCAAAGGTATCCATGATGGTAACGCCCCCGTTTTTCTGGCCGAACGTAATGAGGAGTATGTTGCTACAGAGGATGATTCTCCCGCTGCACGCCTGCGATTCAGTAAGAGATTGGCAATCCACAACATGAAGAGCACGTGTTGGGACGTGACTTCAGGAGGCGTGCCGTTGGAGATCACTGGAGATTCTCTTCTTATCATTTGCTGGCTCTGCGGCCTCTGGAAGGCAGATAATCACTTATACCAGAGACGTGTTGATAATATGATTAATGCTTTGGAAGGAATGTGTTGTATGTATGGTGTGAGACCTGCTGAAGCAGGACGCGATCTTTTCAAACATGAGTTTCGGGAATGGAATGAGAAAGCCGACCTCCTTACCCACCAGGCCCGCGAGGGCCACCAATACACGAACGAACAGTACCAGTTGCAGCCATACGAACAGTCATGCTATGAACCTTGCCTCATCAAAGCGGGCTTTGATGGTGGTGTGTGCAGCCTGGGAGCAGGAAGTGGAGCTTGGATTCAGATTGGACTGCGTTCTCGATTCTCCCATCTCTCGCCTACCTCTTCCTTCAGTGAGTCCCCGCAGATTATCTTCAAAGACGTTTACGTTTGCTCCTTCGCTCTCCAAGACGGGTCCACAGTGACGGATACGGAACTCTCCGCTGCAGAGTGCGTCATCGCAGCACTCCCACGGGTTTTGCAGGCCTATTTCAGCGATAAGTTGTGTGATTGATGATTCTCTTTCGTGTGTTGCCTTCATGCGTGCACACATTGTGTTGATGTACACACACCTTATAAGAGCTGCCAGAGGCTACCGCCGAAGCCGCCCCCCACGTGCTTGGCGTGGTGAGGCTTTCGCCTTAGCCGCTCGGTGGCCCGCGTTTGGCGTGCCCGCCCGCCTCGGACTGGACGGGGCCCTAGGGCCCGTGTGTCCGCGAAACGAATAGGGAGCACCGAGTGCCCCCGGTGGCAGGGTTCGCATGGCGGCCTCGGGCCATTCCGGCACCCCCCTCACGAGGACTGTGGCCCCATAGGGAGCTCCGCCGAAGGCCCCCAGTGGCAGGGTTCGCATGGCGACCTCGGGCCATGTCGGCGCACCCCTCTCTAGGATCGTGTCCCCACAGGGAGCTCCACCGAAGGCGCCAGTGGCAGGGTGCGCGTGGCGGCCTCGGGCCATTTCGGCACACCTCTCACGAGGATCGTGGCCCCATAGGGAGCTCCACCGAAGGTCCCAGTGGCAGGGTTCGCATGGCGGCCTCGGGCCATTTCGGCACACCCCTCGCGAGGATCGGGGCCCTATAGGGAGCTCCACCGAAGGCCCCAGTGGCAGGGTTCGCATGGCGGCCTCGGGCCAATTTGGCACGCCCCACACGTGGCCCCATGGGAGCTCCGGGGCGGCCTCGGGCCATTTCGGCATGCCCCTCACGAGGATCGCGGCCCCACAGGAGCTCCACCGACGGCGCCGCTGGCAGGGTCAGGGGTTCGCATGGCGGCCACGGGCGATTGCGGCGCGCCCGTCGCGAGGATCGTGGCCCCATAGTTGTGCTGCTTGAACAACCGCGCCTGGGCGTGGTACTCCGCCTTGTCGATGCAACGCCACCTCTCTCCCTCGTGGCTCTCAATGCCATCTCCTGCTTCTGCTCCTCGGTCAGAGGGGCGCCATCCTTGTCGTCGTCGGCGCCCGCGAAGACGGCCACGAACGTGTTCCTGAGCATGTCGGGCTCCGGCGGGAAGCCGTGGCCATATAGGGAGCGCGGGCGAAGATGGTATTCGCAATCTCGGTATTCACAACTGCATATGGGTGGGTCCTTCGCTAGGTTAATTTTGATGACGACACTGAACGGCTCTGGAAATACGCATGGAACGATGTATATTTCCAGTGATGCAAAATCGTCACCGCCAGGTTGACGAATGACAGATGGGAAGGGTAATCAAAAGAGGCGCATGCATCACTTGAATACTCGCCGTGTCGAAGCATACCTCCGTCGGGCGCCAGCACCACGACTCTGCGTGCCCGTTTGTTCGCGTAAGCGCACCAAGGCAGGTCGCAAGGAACGCATGCGAGTCTAGTACTACAGCGGAGTCGTTGACAATCATGTTTCCCCTTCTTCAGATGAATTTTCCTGGGTGTTCCAACGCCGAATGGTTCGATGCGTGCTAGGCATACCGTTCATTGTATCATTCTCAATTTGGTAACTGATGGTTTGCCGTCACCCCTTCGCACTGTGGGTATTTATCTGTTGCAAGAGAGTGTTCCCACAAGGGCAATGGCGGCTCATGCTATATTTTTGATTGTGGGCGTTCGGTTGCTGCAAGACAGTAGTTGACGTGCCTAAAAGGATATACTAGTGAGTGGATGTTTACTTGTATTTTTTTCCCGTCGCGCCGTGCTTCACTTTGGATTTTAGAATGCTTCCTGCACGGTATATGGCTGACTTTGCTGATTACCTCGTGCGAGTTATCTGTTGCTTTCGGAATAGGCGCATTTGGCGTATCGTCTAACGCTCTATGCGGGCTTTTCCTCCGCGTTTCGGCAGATGCGCGTTTGGTGGATCGCATCATGTTTTGATGAAGGGGGACTTGCCGACCTGGCTTTGGTTAGTTCCACAGAGTAGTAGCGGGAGTGGACCCTCTCCTGCTGTCTGCGCCTTCAAACTGTTTTGGGGTTGGCGCGGCGGGGGGCCCAAAGTGGCTATGGGGAAGGATGAGGGCCGCTCCTGGATCTCAGGACCTGCCCAAAACATTGGGCTGGTCCTGCCTCTTTACTTGTAACTGTGATTTTGGAATCACTTGCGCCGCCGACATCGTTTGTTCGTCTGCCGTGCTACCCGCCAGCCACCTTTCCTGCTTTGCCTTTCTCTCCCTACCGTGCCTTATTCCCTGTCCTCTATGTCAGGATGCAGTTCCCGGGAGGTTAATTCCGAATCGGCGCCCGTATATCCATGGTCGAAAACCGGTTGTAGTCCTCCGTGATGCCGTTTAATTCCGTTTAGTATGGTTGCAGCTGGTTTTGGCTGAATTTTGTTTTTTTTCCACCCTGGTTCGGCTCAGCGGTCTTTTCTATCGAGCTTAATCATCCTTTATCGTCCTTCCTCTCCGGCGCGCGCCCAGGGGCGAGCAGGGCAGGGCGTCTGGGCACGAAGCTAATTAATGGCTCAGAAATGACTTGCGCGATGGCGGATGTGCGCCCGATGGCGAAGAAGGTCAGCATCGTCTAACCGATCCCCACTGGACCGCCTAAGCCCCACCAGGCTGCCTTCCAGGTAAGGATCGGCCCCGCGAAAGCGGAAGGAACCAGATCACCTAGGTGGGTTAGTCGGCCAGTGGGATAGGGATTGGTCACACAATGTTCTGAAGGCCGACGCCAGGGGGTCCCCCCTGGTCACCGTGGGCCTGTCGTTCCAGTTCGGGCCCACCGGGCAGATCCAGCAGCGCAAGGGCGCCCTCGTTTTCAAGGCCGGCAGCGGGGGATGATGATGATGATGATGATGATGATGATGATGATGATGATGATGATGATGATGATGATGATGATGATGATGATGATGATGATGATGATGATGATGATGATGATGATGATGATGATGATGATGATGATGATGATGATGATGATGATGATGATGATGATGATGATGATGATGATGATGATGATGATGATGATGATGATGATGATGATGATGATGATGATGATGATGATGATGATGATGATGATGATGATGATGATGATGATGATGATGATGATGATGATGATGATGATGATGATGATGATGATGATGATGATGATGATGATGATGATGATGATGATGATGATGATGATGATGATGATGAGGGAGGAGAGGAGGAGGAGGAGGAGGAGGAGGAGGAGGAGGAGGAGGAGGAGGAGGACGAGGAGGACGAGGAGGACGAGGAGGAGGAGGAGGAGGAGGAGGAGGTGGTGGTGGTGGAGGGGGAATACAATACGGAGGAGGAGGAGGAGGAGGAGGAGGAGGAGGAGGAGGAAGAGGAGGAGGAGGAAGAGGAGGAGGAGGAGGAGGAGGAGGAGGAGGAAGATGAGGATCTCCGCGTCCTCCGTTTCACAATAGGTCTCACGATCGATCACATTATCTATCTCACCACAGATTTTACGATCGATCTCACTATTGATCTCATTATTGATCTCACTGTCGATCTCACTATCGATCTCACTATCGCGCCACCGACGGGGCACCCCCCGCCACCGACGGGGTGTCGATCTCACAATCGGTCTCACGATCGATCCCACTATCTATCTCACAATCGATCTCACCACAAATCTCACTATCGATCTCACTATCGATCTCACTGTCGATCTCACTAACGCGCCACCGACGGGGCATCCCCCGCCACCGACGTGGTATCGATCTCACAATCGGACTCACGATGGATCCCACTATCGATCTCACTATCGATCTCACCTCAGATCTCCCTATCGATCTCACTAGTGACCTTACTATCGATCTTACTATCGATCTCACTATCGATCTCACTATCTCGCCACCGATGGGCCTCCCCCCCCGCCACTGACGGGGCACCCTCGCACCAAGGTCAGAACACCCCCGCATCACCAGTTGAGCACCCCCGCACCACTAGCCGAGCACCCCCGCACCACCGACGGAGCACCCCCGCACTTCCGGCGGGGCCTCCCAGGCCACCGCGCGCCCGGGGGCGGGGCGGTCAAACGGCTCCACGTCCCGTAGCCACGGCGGCATCATTACTGTCGCGCGCCTACGCAGCTTTGCCTCGCCCGCACGCACGACACGACCACGGAACCGAAACCGATTTCCCAGTGGGGGGCTCTCCGTTCCATTGCGATCTCACCCCCCAACCTCGGATAGTGAAACAAAAGCGGCAACCTGGGTTAAAAGGGAGATCTCTGGGAGCAAGGGGGTTAGCCTCTGAGGGCCTCTTCGAGCTATCCCTGGGGCCCGCGTGGGGGCGAGGGAACGAGGAGGAGGATGAGGAGGACGAGGATGAGGACGACGACGACGACGACGGCGACGACCACGACGACGAGGAAGAGGGAACAGGAAAAGGAATACGATGAGGGCAAGGACGAGGACGAGGACGAGGAGGACAACGAGGACGAGGACAGAGCCATCAAAATCGCTTTTTGGAGCCCTCTTGGGACTCATTTTGGGGATCTTGGGTTCCTCTTGGGGCTCTGTTGGGTGTGTCTTGGGGCCCCCTTTTTTTCCCAACCCTCCTGTGGTGTTGGGTCCTCGTTTTGAAGAGACAGCGCCCCGCGTTCCTTCCTCCTCCCACTTCTCCCTCCCCCTCATCCCTCCTCCCCATCATTGCCTCTGCTCTCGGCACACCCCTCACACGTTTCGTAGCCTCATAGGGGAGCTCCACCGAAGGTCGCAGTGGGGGTGCCCGCATGCGTCCCCCACGCCCAGCACAGCGTTTCGTGGCTCGATAGGGAGCTCCACCGAAGGCCCCAGTGGGGGTGCCCGCATGCGCCCCCCACGCCCAGGACAGCGTTTCGTGGCCCCGTAAGGAGCTCCACCGAAGGCCCCAGTGGGGGTGCCCGCATGCGCCCCCCACGCCCAGGACAGCGCTTCGTGGCCCCACCACCGAAGGCCCCACTGGGGGTGCCCGCATGCGTCCCACCGACGGCCCCAGTGGGGGTGCCCGCATGCGTCCCCCACGCCCAGGACAGCGTTTCGTGGCCCCATAGGAAGCTCCACCGACGGCCCCAGTGGGGGTGCCCGCATGCGTCCTCCACGCCCAAGACAGCGTAACGTGGCCCCATAGGGAACTCCACCGAAGGCCCCAGTGGGGGTGCCCGCATGCGCCCCCCACGCCCAGGACAGCGTTTCGTGGCCCCATAGGGAGCTCCACCGAAGGCCCCAGTGACGGTGTCCACTTGCGTCTCCCGTACCCAGGGCAGCGTTTCGTGGCCCCATAGGGAGCCCCACCGAATGCCCCAGTGGGTGTGCCGACGAACTGTGAGAGGGCGGAGGAGACGAATTGGGAGAGGGGGGAGGACAAGCTAGGTGCGCTCGCGCCATATCTGACATCCTACCCCTCCCTCCCATCCCTTACCATGGCGCAGATCCCCTCTCTACTCGCACAGTCGGATGTCGAGCAGGGCAATGATCCCGAAAGGGTACGCGATGCATTGTAGAGCGCGGCATAGCATGGCGTAGAATAACACAGCGAAGCGTAGTATCAACCTGGTATTGCATTGCATGCCGTGGCATTGCGCGGGAAAAGGGGCCAGCGCTGCAGCGGGAACACGAGTCAAAACGAGCGGAAGCGCGGAAATGAGGCCAGCGCTGCAGCGGGAGCACGATTCGGAACGAGCGGAAGCACGCCAGAATCGGCCCAGGAGGCTTCCCGGGCGCCAGAAGCAGAAATTCAGCATTTTCGCAAGAAAAATGTGTATTGGAATGGTTTTTTTTCGGCGCCGCCTCGGAACTCGATTTTCCGGCGCCGGCCGGAACCGGCTCTGGACCCGGCCGGGCGCCGGCCCGGGCGCCGGCTTGGGCGTCTGGCCCGGGCGCCGGCTCGGGCGCCAGCCCGGGCGTCGTAATCGGCCCGGGAGGCCCCAGGCGCTGGAAACAGAAATTGAGCTTTTTCCCAGGAAAAACGTGTATTAGAATGGCCTTTTTTCGGCGCCGCCTCGGAACTCGATTTTCCGGCGCCGGCCGGAACCGGCTCCGGACCCGGCCCGGGCGCCGGCCCGGGCGCCGGCTCGGGCGTCCGGCCCGGGCGCCGGCTCGGGCGCCGGCCCGGGCGCCGGAAGCAGAAATTGAGCATTTTCACAAGAAAAATGTATATTAGAATGTTTTTTTTTCCGCGCTGCCTCGGAACTCCATTTTCCGGGGGCGGCCGCAACCGGCTCCGGACCCGGCGGCCCGAGCGCCGGCCCCGGCGCCAGCTCGGGCGTGCAGCCCAGGCGCCGGCGGAAATGATGCCAGCGCTGCAGCGGGAACACGATTCGGAACGAGCGGGGCACGAAAATGAGGCCGGCGCCTCAGCGATAACAGCATTTTGGGGAAACAGATGCAGGCGAAAACCCAACTCTGGGGAAACCTGTGCGTAAAAAAAGCAGTAGGCGGGGGGGGGGGGGCGAACA